GAGGTGGGCGGATCACAAGGTCAAGAAATCGAGACCATCTTGGCCAACATGGTGAAACCCCATCTCTATTTTTAATTAAAAAAAAAAAAAATTAATGTAACATACCAAAAGCCATTGAATTGAGTATTTTAAATAAGCGGATCATATACAAATTATATCTCAAGAACTATCTGGAAAAAACACTGAACTTGGAGGTTCACTGATAACTGAAGATCACTTAGATTAATGAGTATAGTTTGAGAGTAAAGCAAATGACACTAGCCTAAGCAATGTTTAGTTACGAAGGCATTTTGCAGTGATAAACATAGACTTCTCTAGTTCTCTCATAATAAATTATAATATAGTCTAAGATAAAACCTAGCCCAATAACAACTATACAAAATCAGCGAAGGAAGGATAGCAAATGAATGACACATATACTAAAGAGTCTACAACTTTTTAAAGTAATGACCAATTTCCAAACACCCAGTAAGACAAGAGGATGCCATAACAGGCACTGTCTTGTTTCACTATTGTCTTGTCTTACTGGAGTTTGGAAATTGGTCATTACAGAGATAATGCATAGATTAGCAGAGATAATGCATAAGCTTGATGAATTGAAGGTTAACTACAAATCATTCTCCTTTATAAAAACAAGATTCCTACTAGACAACAATGACAATTTGAGGTCCTCTCCATTGCTGGGAATAGCTAGAGATGGTTTACTCCCACATCTGTTGGGGATCTTTACCCTTCAACATGCTCTGCTTCCTGTGTTCCTTTTAAAAATTTCCACAAATCAGAATTTTTCCTAAACCTAGCTAATTCCCTATATTAGTGTATTTAATTTACTTTCCAAAATTATAAACAAGTCCTAAAAATAATTAGATACTTAAGATTGTCAGTGCCCCCTTCCTTTAGCTCAGAAATTCAAAATAGGTACAGAAATTACAAAGTGAGTGAAAGACAAAGAATAGGTCACATATTTTGCTGTCAGGTTAAAGAATGGATGGGGTTTCTAATGATGTGGATTAATGGGACCAAAGATAACCTGAAAACAAGTCTGGGTTTGGGTTATTTTTTGCCTAACTTTGGACTTTTTGCTATAGAAACAAAACATACTGTATTTAACTTTAGAAGGTTTGAGTAATTCCCCAATTAAAGTTCAGTGTTACCACTTAATTCAATTTGAGCATGTTTTTCCACAAAGTTATCGAAATGAATGAAGCCCAGTCCAAAAATGGAAGAAAATATTCTAAAAATCAGTCATTTTGAGAAAAAGCTAATCATTAATACTAACAACTGAACCAGATAGCAATCAAGACAGAAACAACAAAAAGAAAAGCTCCAAACATGGAGAAGTGGTTCATAATACTGAACTATTCTACACAGAGAAACTTATGGGATTCAGGTGTATGTTTCTCAATAGTGGAATAAAACAAAACATTACAACATTGAGTCTCTCCAAAGCAATGTAAGAAAATGTTGTTAAACGAACCCTGGACAGATGACATAAGGGGAGAAAATTTTGTCTTGGCTACATGCATCATATGTTTTTAACTCATCAACTAGAATAGATAAACCTGAAAAGAGCCTAATATGTTGGGCCACAAAGAATACACCTATGAGCTTCATGATTAAATACATTCCCTTGAATAAGTCTGCTCCACGGTCACATACCAAACTTTATGTTGGCAATTTATCGTGGACAATGTGAATTAAACAGTCTGTCACTGCCACAAGGAAAAATGCAGCAACATCCCATGTACAAAGCAAGCAAAAAGATACTGTATAAAATGGACAGGGATGAGATGCAGGAAGTTTACTTTTAGTTGCTTCCTCGTTGGAGCTCTAAACCTATACATGCTGACTCAATTACCCATCCTCTCTAGGTCTACTTCCCCAACTATAACATTAGGAAGATTTCTTTTTTTTTTTTTTTCTTCCTTACTGTATTGTAACATGTTTATTAAGGATCAACCCCTATCAGTACTCAACATTAGGAAGATTTTTTTTTTTTTTTTTGAGACGGAGTTTCGCTCTTGTTACCCAGGCTGGAGTGCGATGGTGCGATCTCGGCTTACCGCAACCTCCGCCTCCTGGGTTCAGGCAATTCTCCTGACTCAGCCTCCTAACATTAGGAAGATTTCTAATACCTCTACTGCTGTACTTTACACAGAAGAGGTTAAAATGTCAAGAAAGGGATCAGCTATGAGCTCAGTAAACACCCTACACTCTTATGTAAGTCAGCCCTGGACAGCAGAAAGCCCAGGCTCATTACTCCACATGTAAATACGAAGTTTTCTTTAGGCCCATAGAATAGGACAGAATTAGACCTGTTTTATTTGGGATCCTTCCCAAGTTAATAACTCATGAGTAGCAAACAGTATTAATGTATCAAACAGGAGAGGATACTGCTAAAGAAAGGCTCACTGCCAGTGAAAAATTAGAATGGAAAGCTGAGTGCAAGAAGAATAACCTAAAATCAGACCTCAGGACCAGACAAATGATCTGTGGCCAGCTGGCACAGGGGAAAACAGGGTTTAACACCTCTATCTTTATATTATAGTAGGGTCATTACCTATTATTTGTAGTAACCTTTGGGCACCAAGAAAAATTGAAATTATGTTCACTGTACTCTAGTTAGTATGGCAAGGAAACAAAGTTTTTTGACTATTACCATTTAAACATTAAAAAACAACCGTGCTTGCTTCGGCAGCACATATACTAAAATTGGAACGATACAGAGAAGATTAGCATGGCCGCTGCGCAAGGATAACACACGAATTCGTAAAGCGTTCCAAATTTTCTTAAAAAAAAATTTTTTTTTTTTTTAAATAAAAAGAAAAAAGAAAAAAACAACCAACCTTCAGGCTGGGTGTGGTGGCTCACGGTTGTAATCTAAACATTTTGGAAGGCCAATGCAGGAGAATCACTTTAGTCCAGGAGCTTGAGACCAGCCTGGGCAACGTAGTGGAACCCCGCCTTTTTTTTTTTTTTTTTTTAAACAAACAAACAAACAAAACCCTTAAGTTATCTTTAAAAAACAAAACAAAACAAAAATGCAACCTACCACCTAAGGGAATGCTGCCTTGTCAGATGAGAGGTCACAATAAAAGCCTATTGTTTGGAAAATGAGTCAGTGACATCTCTATACACACAGGAGAAATACAGTAAAGCAATGAGAGCCAAGTCTGTGAAGCTTCAACTGCTTGTTACTTCCTTTGTAAGAACAATGAAAAGAACATGGTGAAAACTTCATCTAACATAACTTTAAAGGACCCAGAATATTTCTGCATTTAGAAGGTGTCCACCTGGTTCAAATAAAACCCTGCTAAATTGAAACTGTGGTTCTATTTTCAAGTTTAATGTGTCATTACACTGAGAAAATTCAGGTTTTATTTATTTAATGCAGAATCATGAAACTTTTTTTTTAATCAAAACATTCCATTATACACTGTGGTTCAGTGTATACCATTGGTGTTCAATAAATAACTGGTTTCTACTTTGTTCTAGAGGAGAGAAACAGAGTGAGGAGGCAGTTATTCTGAGCAGCCAAATCCAGAAAAATTCTGGACTTTGGAATTCCTGGAACCCTAAGGTGTTCCTATGTGCTTTATATGAAAAAAACAACAACAATTAAGCAGTTTCTTCCCAGAGTGTACACATTTTTGTTCCAAAGTCTAAAATCTTTTAATGTTGTGTATCAATGACACTATTATACGAAGTAAACAGACTCATATAAAGACTTTTCCTTGGACCTCCAAGTCATTACCTATATCAGGTATTTCCAACACCCCTCTCTACATGGTCTGCTCAAAGAATGAGCTAGCCAGTAGGGTACCCTAAGGTAACACATCAACATAAAGACCAAACTCAAGTTCCTAGAAGCCTCCAAAATGGTACCTGTATTGCAACCAGTCAAGTGGCTGCTTGCCTTTTAGGAAGCATCCTAAACACTCTCAGTGCTTTAATCAGCCCTTGTTCACAGCCACTTAGGCCAACTGCCTAGAGCATGATGGAGCCATACTTCACAGAGACTCCGAACCTGAGGATTCATCCTCAGCATCTGAAACTACATTCTGCTTCCTTTCACCTTCTCTAAGCTCAATTCCCTTAAGTTGTTTAATTTTCCAACATACGAAAGAAGAAACCTGTTTACCAAAACAATACTGGCAAAAGTCTCAAAACACACGGCAAACATACCTACAAACCAAATACAGGTATATCTACTTAATTACAAATGACTGTAATTTATTGTAAGGCTTATATGTAAATTTTTAATCAACCAGAATAAAGGCTATGACTAGTTTTTTTGTTTGTTTGTTTTAAGCTATATATCTAAAAGGAAAGCCTCATGAAATAAGAAAAGCCAGGATTTTGGCTGGGCGTGGTAGCTCACGCCTGTAATCCCAGCACTTTGGGAGGCCGAGGTGGGCGGATCACGAGGTCAAGAGATGGAGACCATCCTGGCCAACATGGTGAAACCCCGTCTCTACTAAAAATACAAAAAATTAGCTGGGTGTGGTGATGTGCACCTGTAGTCCCAGCTACTTGGGAGGCTGAGGCAGGAGAATTGCTTGAACCTGGGAGGCGGAAGTAGCAGTGAGCTGAGGTGGTGCCACTGCACTCCAGCCCGGCGCCTGGTGATGGAGCGAGACTCTGTCTCAAAAAAAAAAAAAAAAAAGCCAGGATTTCTATCTGTTCTGGGAGTGGCCATTTAGAGTATAATGATGACCAATGATCTCCTTTGGAAAAAAACAAAGCAGCGCTACACATCACCATGGGATGGGATGGGGCTGGATTAAAATAAGACCCACATCATCAGATGTCAGGTACTTTGAGCACATCTGATCACAATTCTTGGAAAAAGCTCTTTAGACGGCTAATTAAATTGATGAATCCCTCTCTCTTAGATTGAGCAGTCATATTCTTTCCACTTGATTTCCCATCCAAAGAGATTCCACTACTTCCCACCACCTCATATGGAAACCCCCTACAATTACATCATTATTACTTACATTCAAAGCATTCTTTGCAGCTTCTGCTTCTGAGCGACTGTCAAAACTGACAAAACCTACGGGCTGAGGAAAAAAAGAGAAATATGAAGAAGAAAAAGAAATCAGACGATATCTATTTTTCTGGGTTAAGGGTGCTATCAAACTGAAAAGCTAAGACAAAGAAATGATCACAGGCAATGGGTAGAAATAAGAAAGCGAAATACTGAAGAATCATGACTCAATGGCTTAGCCAAATTTCTAACATGAATCAAAGGGATGGTGAGGGTGGTTCTTCAAGGGCACAGCTGGGGATTTAGAGAATCATAAAAAAATCTAGAAGTGGTTGAAAGGTGAACAGCAGTGAAGAAGGGAATAGAGGAAAACTTGGGTCGGAGAAGCTCTACTTTCCTAAATCAAATTCACTGTACCTCAGTTTCTTCATCTTTTAAAATGGAAAGAGAACCGAATCACCTTTTGGTACACTGTAAGTGCAAGGAATACAATGATATAATGATAAAACCCCTGGACTCTCACTGCATGACCAAAATTACAAAGTGAACATTCCTATCTCAAATCCCAAAGGATGCCTTAAAAATCCTGTGCTTAATTAGGCTGTTCCGAGTAAATACAGGAAGGCCATAACCCCTTTGGACTCCACACATCTATCAATCCAGAAGGGTGCGCCTCCAAGGTCATTCTTCTGATGAACCAGAGAGATGAACAGTGACTGGAGGAGAGGTGTGTATGCCAAGTGTTTAGCTTAAAAAAAAAAAAAAAAAGAAAGAAAGAAAAAAGAAAGAATATAGCTACAGTCTCTAGGAAACTTGTAGGAACTATCAGAATCACTGACTACCACTTCCATTTTGTACCTTCTCTGTTCCATTCTAGACTTGGGACTCTGCCTTACTTCAGGGGTTTGACAGACAGTACGATCCTTCACTATCTGATATTCACATTGATTGTAAAAGTTTGTTTAACCTCATAAAAAGAAATGAAAAAGACTTGGGAATAAAAGTGAATTTAAATAATAAGCCATTATTTTCATTTATTCACCAAATCAATCTCAATAAACTATTGTATTTATCTTGCTCTGGGACAGTCCCTGAAATTCCAGCTGAAGACTATAGAATTATGAAACATTTTCCTGTGCTAATTCCTAATACATCTCACTCTTAATTTTAAAGGCAAAAAAAAAAACCCTCAAATTCTAATGGGAATAAAAAAAGAATGTCAAGCCCCAGCAACATTCCTGAAGAAAGTAAAAAAGTGATCTTTATATGCCCGTTTGAAATTCTTACCTGTTTAGATGTGAGCTTTATAAGAGAACCCTCATAGCCCTGAAAATAAAGAAAAACCAAGTTTAGCCAAAAAAGTAATTGTAATACCATCTTGTTCATGTAAAAATAAATTCTTTATTGATTACCTAACTCCTCTTACAAATGTCTCCTAACTTATGTGGGAAAGCAAATTACACGCATGCATGTGCACGCACACACACCTGTTTGCATTCTTGGGGCCTTTTAAAAAATCAGTCTATGGACTTATATATATGTGTTTCTCTTTTTTTTTTTTTTCCATGAAATTATACAATGGTAGAAAATTAGTGTCTGTGTTAACAGTAATCTTTTTGTTTTCTTGGTCTAGATAAGAATAGGGGTTTTACAGAACTAGGCAAGGAAAGAAGGTAAAACAGAAAGGTCAGAGAATGTGTTGATTTGGTCATATCTGCTGTAAGGTAACAACAATAAAACATTAAAAATATAGTTGGTAAAACTCCCTAACCAAATTTTTGAAACTGTCAGAAAACATTAAGCAGACAATGATGTTGAATTTTGTTGAGTTATTTTCCTTACTTGCTGAAGGAAACAGTTTTCATGTTGCTATTCTGATTGGGACATGCTAAAATACTTTTGGGTTTTTATTCCAGCTCTACTCTAGGAAGACAGAAACACTCCCTCCCTTTCACTCCTTCTCTTCACCCCTCCCAGCTCCTCAGGATAACAAAATGTGTTTAGTTCTGAAAATAATCAATAGCTGGTGGCTTGCATTAATGGATGACACAGGGGAAAAACATACCACTTGACATGATTGACCAGTAAATACATCAGTGCAGAGACAGATCTGCAGACTAGGGTCAGCCTCCAGGGACTTTAATTAAAAGAGGGCTGTCAGGAATGTACTAGGGTCCTAACTTCATCGTCAGGGTTTCTGGGCAGGATGCTGAGATTGATTCATCCTTACATCTTCCCAGCACAGAACTATGTTACCAATTAGCTACTATAAACATTTCACCTCAATGGCCTTGGGCTCTTATGGCCAGAGAGGTCATGATTCATAGCTCTGCCTCTTTGTTTCTTCAAGGTGCTCTCTTCTGAAAAAAACTGGAGGTTTAAGCGCCATGAAGATCTAGAAGGACAAATGGATATTTCACTCAAGTAAAACACCACTGGTAGGGATATACTGTGTTCTCAAGTCACAAACACAGATGTAGTGTAACGTAATAGTTCAGAACAGAGACGGCAGAGTCAGACTACCTGGCCTTGAATCTTGACTCTGTCATCTTTTATGTGTATAAACTTGAGCACAATTTATTCAATTGCTCCAAATTTAATTTTCCTCATTTGAAAAAATGAGACCCACACACTTGAAAGAATTGTGACAATACTTTAATGAGATAATTCACATAAGGGGATTGCTGGCTGAATGTTTTTCTCTCTCTACACCCCAAAACATAACAGTATTTTATACACTAAGAATATCGATTCACTTTAAAAGTCTGCATTCTATAAAAAGGATAGAAAAGTTGTCCCTTTTATAAAAGTACAACCCTGAAGAAGAAACTCAGGAAAATTCTATAAAAGGTGGCACACTCTCCACAACACCTTCTCTTCCTTTCCTACTTCCTCCCACCTGACCTGGCGCCTGACCTCTGTTTCCCTGTGCCATCGTCATTATTGTTGCATTAAAGGGACGGCTGTCAGGTGGAGTTACGTCCATTATGACACAGTGCCCTCTTAGCACATAAGCTACACTATTTTATCTTGGTTTTAATTGGCTGCCCCTGCAACCCTCCCTCCTCCTCTCCAACACAAGAGTTTTTAGTTGCCATATCCTGTTCGCTTTCCCTAAGAAGCTGAATCCTCTCCCTCAACCTGTCACACCTCTATTGCTGGGGACCTGCTTCAATCAGGATATCTTTAACCAGAAAGCAAGATAGCCTATCACCTAATCATAAGTGCAGTCCCTGCCAGGCACTGCTGCTAACACATCCACACTGACCAACTCAGACTTCCTGAACACAGGCCCTGAACTTATTATCCTTCCCAGGGCCTCAATTCAGACAGTTCCAGCTTTCTTCTATCCTCCAAAGGCCAACCTTCAAAAGGTTTCCTCTTCCCAGCATGATTATTTCAGTTTAGTTTCTATTATGTCCTTGGTGTCTAATTTCCTATGAAGTTTTCAATCCTAGCAACACTAAATATCTATCAAGTGATCTCATTTCCAAAGGAATGACAGGTAACTGCATTAACTATTTCAATAAACACCAGGAAATATTACCCTCAACTCATAACTAGGTATCCTTTAAAATTTTGTTTTGCTTTGTTTGAAACTTAGGGACACTTTTGCCGTGGAAAAAAATAATGGTGGTTAGGTTCTTAACCCAGTTCATAAAAACCTATTTACATTTCCAAAGAACAGTATCAACAGTAGTATTTCAACTAATAAGGTAGGAACTTAGGAATAAATCTTCGCTTACATCATTGCCATCTGAAATATAAATATGTAATTTATAATTTTTTTGAGTGATCTACTCTAAGAAGGGCACTCCCAATTAGAGGACAAACAGGAAGGACACTAAGGCTGCTCTACATGGAACACAGCCAGCCAGCCAGATGCATGTCCACATCAGCAAGAGCACAGGCTTTTCTAGATTGCCTGTTGGAGGTTCAGAGGTACTTTCAGTCTATTATCCTAAGTGAGGCTGTACATTAGAACTCAGTTATTAAATCTCCTTTACTCATTAACCTTTTAAAAACATCACTATACGAAGTGCTTTCTCAAATATTTCATTTCTTGCTCCAAAAAGCCCCAAGGAAGCATACAGAATTTTGTCTCATTTTATCATTTCTGAAAGATAAAAAAAGGTACCTTAAAAGGTCTGAAAAGCAGATAGAGCTCCCGAGGTTTGATATCCAGAGGAAGACCACTGACAAATAGGGTCCGGACCTGGAAAAATAAATTTAAGAAGTGATCAAGGGTGTGGACACTCCAGAGAGTTAACTTTCACCTGAAATCTCAAAAACTTATTACTCTAAATATTCCACAACTCATACTAAATTCATGCTCTTTCCATGATACAATGAATACTTTACGGTTAAGATGCTTCCAAGCCGACTCATTTTTTTTTCTTTTCAAATTTTAGGAGAGCTGCAGCCTTCTGTGTAATCTTAAGGTGCATTCCCTAAGCCAACTCTTGAATATTTCTATTATGAATTATTCAGAATGAATTACATCTAGTTGATTTAAGTTTACAAACTAACTTTCCCCAACTAGCTACTACACAGTTCTAAAAATGTGGAGGATGAGGAGGTTCCATACAATTTAAATATTACTTGAAGAAAAACAGTGACAAGAGCACAGTAAATCTGCCACTCCTCTGCCCTAAATATATGGCCAATATAATGTGCTTCAAAAATAATATAAAAACAATTTATTTCCTCCTGCTTGTCTTGTTGCTGCTTTCCTCACTGGCATTAATTACAATAACTTTAATAAATGTGCAAGTACACACCAAGCACGGTAGCTCATGCCTGTAATCCCAGCACTTTGGGAGGCCAAGGCAGGAGGATCAAACAAGGTCAGGAGATAGACACCATCCTACCTAACATGGTGAAGCCCCATCTCTACAAAAAATACAAGAAATTAGCTGGACGTGGTGGCATGCACTTGTAGTCCTGCTACTCAGGAGGCTGAGGCAGGAGAATCGCTTGAACTGGGAGGGGGAGGTTGCAGTGAGCAGAGATGGCGCCACTGCACTCCAGCCTGGGCAACAGAACGAGATTCCATCTCAAAAAAAAAAAAAAAACCACCACCAAGGTACAAGTTAAGCCCAATGTACCTAAATAATAACCAAAATGCATTAACTCTGCATCTGTTCAGTTCCATAACAGCAGGGCCAACCTCACTGACTATTGCTTCGATTGTGGTCTTTTTAAGTTCCAGTGTTACCTGTGCAGGGTGTGCAGGTTACATAGATAAATGCCTGCCATGATGGCGTGCTGCACAGATCTACGTATCGTATTAAGCCCAGCAACCATCAGCTATTCTTCCTGATGCTCTTCCTTCCCTCAAGCCCCACACAGGCCCATGTGTGGTGTTCTCCATCATGTGTCCCTGTGTTCTCAATCTTCAGCTCCTACTTGTAAGTGAGAACACGCAGTGTTTGGGTTTCTGTTCCTGTGTTAAGTTTGCTGAGGACAGGACTTGCAGCTCCATCCATGTCCCTGCAAAAGACATGATCCCCTTCCTTTTTGTGGCTGCATAGTATTCCATGGTATATATGCACCACATTTTCTTTATCCAGTTCCTCACTGATGGGCATTTGGGTTTATTTTCTACTATTGTGAATAGTGCTGCAATGAACATACACATGCATGTATCTTTGTAACAGAATAATTAATATTCCTTTGGGTATATATCCAGTAATAAGAATGCTGGGTCAAATGGTATTTCTGCTTCCAGATCTTTGAGGAATTGCCAAACTATCTTCCACCCACTGTGTTTAAGGCACGATCAACAAACAGGCCTACCATGTACAAGGTACCTGGCTAGGTGCCACTAATAAAAGTCATTCAAGACACATATGTAAATACACATAGTGCAGGCTGTAGGGTACACACTATGGGCTTAGTGTCTACTAAAATACAGAACACAGGGGAAAAACCAGAGAAAGCACTCAAAAAAGAATCTAAAGGATATGCAGCATTTTACCAAATGGAGCCAAAAGATGAGGTGGGATACATAACAATCACAGGCAGAGGAAAGCAGTAACCAAGGCAGTGAACCAGGGGAAAAATCAGTACATTCTCTGGGAAGGACAAGCCAAAACTAAACAAGAAGCTTAGGGTCACACCACACAAAACATCAAAAGCCAGTGGCTCAGGAATTTGATCTTGATTCAATAGGCAAGGAGTAGCTACTGAATTATCACATTTTCGATGTCTCTTTTTCTCTACTCATAGGAATGCAACTCGATTGAAAATTCAATTCTCAATTGTTAACCATGTATATACATGACTTTTCCTCAGTGAAAAATGGAGAGAATATCAGACAGACAGATAGATAGGTAGACAGACACAGACAAACTGATATAGGCAGGCAGGCAGGCGTGCTATCACGTCCAGCTAATTTTTGTAAAGATGGGGTTTCGACATGTTGCCCAAGCTGATCTCAAACTCCTGAGCTCAAGAGATCCTCCCATCTTGGCCTCCCATAGTGCTGGGATGATGTGCATGAGCCACCTCACTTGGCCTTATTTTTTAGATTCCTAACATTTTTCCTTGTTTCTTGTTATACAAAATTACGAATCACCAAGCAAGTCCCTTTTATTGGCCCAGCACAGTACACAGTAAAATGTTATGCCATTTGCATTTAAGTGTGTTTAATAAACACTATAATGATGTAAACAGCCCCAGAATTCTAAATGCCTTATTTTATGATCTATTTATAAACAGCTTTATTGAGGTTATTATTTATATATAATAAACTACACATCTTGAAAGTGTAAGATTTGTTTTGACGTATGTATAACCTAAGAAACACCACATCCAAGACAATCTATTACCTCTAAAAGTAGATTCATGCCCCTTTAATCCTTCCTCCCACCCTGTCCCACCATTCTCCACCTCCAGGCAATCACTGCTCTGATCGGTCTCTTTACATGCGTACGTATGATTTAAACATTTATACAAAGGGAACCACAGAGTATGTAACCCTTTTCATCTGGCTTCTTTACCTTAGCATGAAGTAAAATTTACTTTGAGATTCATCCATGTTGCTGAATGTATCAACAGTTTATTCCTTGTTATTACTGAGAAGTATTCTGTAGTGTGGATACACCACAGTTTATTCATTCACATGCTGATGGACATTTTGGGTTATTCTAGTTTTTGGCTTTTACAGATAAAATGGCTATGAACATTCATGTAGAAATCTTTGAATGAACGTATACTTTCTTTTTGGATAAATACTTCTAAGTGGAATGCCTACATATGAAAGGTATACGCCTAACTTTAAAAAAAAAAAAAGTCCATGAATTCCTTGTCTTATGGTTCAGAACATGATAAATATTCTGTGTGCACTTAAAACAAATGTGCATTCTGCTTGCGCTATGTGGAATGATCTATAAACATCAATTAGGGCCTGGAGTCATGGCTCACGCTTGTAATCCCAGCACTTTGGGAGGCCGAGGCGGGCAATCACCTGAGGTGAGGAGTTTGAGGCCATCCTGGAGAAGATGGTGAAACCCCGTCTCTACTAAAAATACAAAAAAAAAAAAAAAAAAAAAAAAAAAAATTAGCCAGGCATGGCGGCGCATGCCTATAGTCCCAGCTGCTCGGGAGGCTGAGGCAGGAGAATCGCTTGAACTCAGGAGAGAGGCTGACGTTGCAGTGAGCTGAGATTTCACCACTGCATTCTAGCCTGGAGACAGAGCGAGACTCAGTTTCTAAATAAATAATAAAATTAGGTCAGGTTTGTTGTTCAAGTTTTCTGTATCTTTTACATCCCCACTTCCACTACCCCCAACTTTGTACCAGATAAATAGACTTCGTGGGAGTCTTTACGAGGTTGTCTGAGGCAGAACTGCTGACAACTGCCAAATACACAAATTGTGAGGAAATCCTGCTAATCCAGTGTGCCCTTCCTGTCACCCGCAACTCTCCTCTCATAGGCCAGAAAGTGAACACCATCTGTTACACTTGGCTGTTTTGGTCAGGACAACCTGAGCAAAGACAGAATACCATCTCCCATTCATTCAGATTTTGGTGAGTGCCTGTTTTATCTCCGACACTGTGCCAGGTGCTAACCGGATTACAGAGATTTCCACAAAAATGATACGATAAGCAGAACCTATGTTTTAAGTGTCGGAGTGCCATTTATCTAGCGGTGCATCTTACCATGTCATAAATATGAATTAGAATTTGAGGAGCTAACCTAGAAAATGAACTATTATTTATAATACTGTTATAGAGAAAAAGGCTTCATAAATGTCAATTCACCAACAAAGGTTATTTGAAATCTAGGGATTATCAAGAAAGGATTATTTAATATAAACTAAGGTTCACCTGTATTATACAATGAAATATTACACAGCCAATAAAAATGATGTTCAAGGAAAAAGTATATAGACTTCCACTTTGTTTCATAAAGTACCCAACATATTTACAGAGGGAAAAAATTCATCTTGTAGTATGTGTACTCAAATGCTTATATTGTTTAGCCATCAATGTTATAGTAACTGATTTTAATGGTTTTTCTTAGCTTATTGTGTTTTTCATCTTTCTAAAATAAATATACATTAAATACTGTAAGTTTATTTAGTTGAGAATTACCTCAATTTATTACTTCCCTTTCTTTAAGGGACTAACAACAAAGTCAATATTTGTATCAATATATATTATAAAGTTTATGGAGGAAATTATTTCTTATGTAAATATTCCGTAATGTAAAGATATTTTTGGTGTTTCAAAGAAAATTGTTATACATGGGAGGAAAAAAAAAACCCGAGTTCCTGTCAGCCTAAGTTTGCCACTCACTTATAGATGCCAAGAGGCTCAAAGCAACTCTGTTTTGTTCATCAAATTGGAGGCAGATCAGATGTTTGGCATTTTATTTAAAGATGGACAAGACTTAGGTTTTCTAGAATCTCATGAAGACCACTATTGTCTCAGAAATCTACCAGAATATCTCATCTCATCTCACTGAGATATTCTTTCCTCTAATAGAACAGACAGACTGACAAGGGGGAAATAATTTTTGAATACTTGCATTATGTATTGATTCCAACTAGAGGTCACCAAGCATAATGCGCTTGGAATCTTTTAGAGACCTCCTCCGACTAGGAAAGTAATCAAGCAAGTTAAAAAAAAAAATCATGAATAATGAATGGAAAAATAGCTTCCTAAATATCAAATTCATGCTTTTCTATGGTGACTGGGATCTAGAGT